ATAGTATTCGATGGGATAGAATTAATTTATGCACGATGAAAAGAAACTGTGGCTTTATTCTGTCGTGGAATATTAACTTCTGGCACACAGACTTAATCGCGTGACGTCTATGAGAATACGTTAAATTTCTTAAAACTACCGTAGAGAGTGTTTTGAAACATACTTGTTATGGATGTTGGACGATTTACATTCGACTAGTTTCGGCTACCGTAAGCCGATCGGTCACGGTGAGAAAAAGTGTGGAGAACAAGCAGCAGAGAAAGAGAAAGGTAAGGGAACAGGAATCCTCTTATGCGTGGCGTGTATCTAGAAGAACACGTTGTAGAATACCATATGAGGTTTAAAATCATCCGTGAAGGAATGTCAGTAAACCTATCTGGTGTCTTACTCATACTCGTTTGTCATTGGATTAAGAAATCTATTCTATGTTATGTTCAAAACATACAGTCTCTTCTAATTTAATATCGACTGGTATCATAATGTATTTCACTCTTACTTCAATTTATTCTTCCAAGAATTTTACAAGATTTTTAAAAATGTTGTGAGGGTATCGAGGAGTGAATGACTACTTTTAAATCCTTAAAGCTTTACACATAAAATCTAAAGGTACATGTTCGTACAAAATTCGTACAAAACTATTTTCATAGGAAGGTTAACATTTTTTTTTAATTAAATATCACTAAACACGAGACTTGCACGAGCATGTGTACTAAATCTGCGAGTTTTACGATCCATCCGGAGGAAGATCATTGTAACGACAATGTTCGCCGTAACGGTAGAGTTTATATAACGCGTAGTTCCATAAGGTACCAAACCTATGATGTACCTTGCCTATGTCCTGAGATTGACATCGACAAGTATACGACACGAAACGTGGAGGGAATATCCGTGGCTTGTGTTCCACAGGGAGAGGAGAGAGATAAAGAGAGACCAGTTTCATCGCGACGCTTTGCTTAACCCTAACCCGGGTAAAGAATCCCGTAGGCAACCTGAGACACGTTGACGAGAGACGGTGGAAAGTGGTCTCGGTGTCGCGTTTCGAGCAATTCGATCGAACACTTTGGAGATATGCCGGACACTGGTACGGAGAATGGGAAAAAGGAAGAATCGATCCCGCAGTAATTTGCGGTTGAACGAAAACCGATACCCGGCTGTCTGTCTAACTTTTTATCTATCGCGAAAACTGAGAAACACTTGAAAAGTTCGAAGGAATTTCTCGAGCCGGTCGAAGTAGTTCCTAGGAAAGAGACGAACCGCGTTCGAATCTAGTCAGCTTTTTGCACCGCGATCAATTAAGATCATAACCCTGCGGATTCTTGAAGCCTTTTTTTTTTATCGTTTTACAGTCCGTAATTGGAAAGGTAGGTTTCGACAAAGAGAAGGCATTGATAAAGGAACGTCTTACAGAGATTATCCCGGTGCAACGGAGAAAATACCGGTGTAACAGGATTCTCGAGGACCGTAAGATTTCTTGGAGGCTGTGTGCTCTTTTTTCCCTCTTCCTCACTCGTACGAGATCGGCCGAGGCCAGCGCAAGGACGATTCCTACCACTCCGAAACTGAAAACTTTATTTCGGCATTTATACAATGAACCGCGGAGAATGTGTGTCACCAAAATTCCACAAATATTTCTTGTATCCATGAGCTCCTTAAAGAATTCCATGACTGTCTTTCCATGCGCATACTTTCGAATTCATTTGGATTTGATTTATACATCTATTATAATTTCCTCGATTGTCCGTTCCCATTGAAACTAGTTCTGGAATTACAGGAGTACAACATCAGTTCGTGTAGCTATACGCATATCTTTGCATGCAATTGTTCATATTGTGTCGACCTTCCCGTACAGGAATTCATAAAGAAATAGATTACGAGTACATAAGACTCTTGTGCGATTGGTATCGTTCTAAGCTAGCCGAGGCTCGTGCTCCGCATCGGAAAACGCCGTACGGTTTGTATTCCGTTAGGTCGTCGAAGTTTGTACGTTTCAACGCGGTGTGAATATTCGTTCAACGTGGCACGTAACGCGCTGCCTGCTTCTTCTGGTATTAATATTCCACTGCTTTATTGTTTCTCATATTTATGCATCAACCGCGTGGTCAGAGAAACAGTTATGCTTCTCGGCGTACTCTCTCGTCGCTTCTTTCATAGTTTGAAACACAAATCAGTCTCGAGCGCAGCGTGCCTTTGGCAGGGAAAAAGAAAATTCAGAGCCTTCCTGAAACTTGGCAGACTGATAAACTTGGCAATCGAATTATGTGCAGCTGACGAAGCTTTCGAGACAATTAAGGTGTAACGTAATAATCGTCTAGGCAACTTATTTAGGAGAACGCGCTGTCCACGGGCTATATTAGAGACAGTGCAATGAATTTGAATGGAAATCTGTATCGTAAATACTCTAAACAAACTTTCCATTCAGCTGTTCGTTTCGTTAAAAATACAGGTGAAATATCGTGAGTAAGAAACGGTGTCCCTCTTGGAATTAGAAACATAGATCAGAGTTACACGTTTTAATAGCTCGTTTTGTTCCCCTTAGCGCGGCGAGAAGTCGGGAATTTATGTATGTCCCTGGGCAAACAAGCCGCGTTGAAACCGCATCTTCCTGGCGATTTTCATTTATTTCACAGCAGACCGAACACACGCGAGATTCGTCTCG